TGTTTTTTTAGTCTCGATTTCGTACTGTTCGTAATCGCAGATAAAGTTGTTCTGCTTCTTTCTGCTATTTTAGCTAAAATGGCCGTCTCTGACGTTTCTCAGAAATATGACGTCATAATTCGAATTTTTAAAAATTAGAATTCCAGAATCTTCTAGCCTTCACCGTTTGGCTAATCGTTCAAATAACGTCCTTATCCGTTCTAAATCGCCAATTCGGAAGGCTTGCTGCTAAAATACCGAATTCTGCAGAGACTGCATTTTGGCCATTCTGGTCGAATGTCACAAGCATGTAGAGCTGGGTTTAGACGCTAGCCAGTGTGACTTTATTTTCCGTCGATATGTACTGCCGGGCGAATGTTACAGCTTTTCCATAGGTTGCCATAGAAGGGTCTTCACGAAAAATTGATAGAAAATATTCCTTAAATTAAGGTCTTGTAAGTTAAACTGCTGCTGTTTATGTTTGAATTTACATTTTGAGTTTGGTTCCAAAAAAGAACTGATTTTCTGAAAAAAAACAATTTTCGATATAATGACTGCTGAATCTTGCTTGAAAGTGTAGTTTTTAGTTCGTTTGTTATCGTCAATTGTGTTGTTTTCTCAAAATGCAAAAACCAACCCCCTAGAGAGATACAAAATACTAAGAGAGATACCAATTCAGAACAGACAAATTTTATTGAAAACTGCAAATCACCTAATTCAGAAAAAAGTTTTTCGACTCGAGGTTAAAATAATATTGAATGTTGCAACATTTTAGTGCTTTGTATAAAACATCCACCATGAGTCCATCGTTGGCAGCACACACTGTACACTTTCGACGCAACTTTTCAGTGTTTAATATAGAACATCCACTGTGAGTCATCGTTGGCAGCACAGTTTATCCATTTTTGACGCAATATTTTAGTCTTTAGTATAGAAAATCCGCTTTGAGTCCATCGTTGGCAGCACATACAATCTTTGTAAAGCTCGATGAAGGTGATGTCAGAAGGGAGGTACAACTCGCGTCCAGCAGCGACACTTTTTCCCACCGGATCTCCAGTTTTTGGCTGTACTTCTAGGGAAGCACCCACCCGCGCCCGATGACCGCCGAGTCTCACTGTGTACAGGCCACGAGCAACTTCAAGATACCGAAGAAGAGAAGAAGAAATACCAGAAGAAGAAATCCAATTATTTTATGCCTCTTCAACTAGGTACCGGATGGTACAGAAGCAGCCGCACATAGAGCCCGTGAGTTTATAATTTCTGCGCCTGCTAATAAAGCTTTCGGGAAAATTGATTTTTCCAGCGCATTTGACAGTGTTAGACGTGATGTCATCATTTCGAAGGTTTCAGAACAGTGCCTTGAAATTCTGAACTTCGTCAAAGTGTGCTGTGTCCAAAGCTTCCGTGCCTGGATTACTTGAATTATCTTCTGACAATATTTGGCAAAAACATGTCAAACGTGGTGGGTTTAATCTGTGATAACTGTGAAACTAACTAAGCTTTGGCAAGGCTTTGTAGAATTCCCATGATTGGATGCGCGTCACACAGATTTAATTTGGCTGTCAAAGAATACATTTTGACGTCCGGTAATTCCGTCCGAAAATTTGTCAAAAATTAATGTCTTGATGGGAAAATTTAAAGGTATCAAACTTGGTGCCAAATTGCGACAGTTCACGACATTGCGTACCAAACAACAAAACGTTACCAGATGGAGCAGTTCTTGCGAAATGGTTTCAAGGTACTTGGAGTTAAAACAAGTATTCGAACAGCATTTTTCGAGTGAACAGACATTACTTGATTCGTTGCTCAATGCTCGGGAAAACCAGAAAGTGTTGGAAGTTCACGAAAACTTGAAAGTTCTCGATTCAGTAACTTTAGCTCTACAGCGGGAATCTATCGACTTATCATCGACCAGACTTCTTTTTGACGAAGTCGTGAACCGTGTTCCCGAGTTGGACATGTACATGAAATATCTTGCGCCAAACGCTTCAATTATCGCCAGCCCGAACTTTGAAAATGGTGTTGTCAAGATTTTGGACGAGAATGAGGCAAACTTGACAATCAGAGAGAAAGAGGAGTGTCAATCTCTGAGGAGCTGTTTTGCCTTCTGTGAGTGCCAGTTCGTCGGATTTTGCAACACATGTTTTGGAGAGCAAGCGTGCAAAGACAACTGCGACGGAGTTCATGAGTTGCAAATTTTTGGAGCCAACCTCGAACCGTATTGAAAGATTTTTCAGCGCAGCCGGGTATTCTCTGGGTGACCTGCGGCAGTCAATAACCCCTTTACATCTCGAAGAACAGCTCTTTCTCAGAGCCAATGCACGAATGTGGAATGTTGAAACCCCCATGACGCTCTTCAAGAAGAAAACTGAGAAACATTCGAACTGAACGCAATTAATGGATTTTTAGTTTTCTCCATTTCCGTTAATTGATTTTTCGCTGAAATTTAATTTTTCTGTTGAAAATTAATTTTTGAGCAGCCTTGGCTGTGTCTCTGCTAGCTCTCTTGTGTATGATTGCTACATTGTTCATTCAGCCGAAGGTTTCCAGCAAGGTGATCCATTAGTCAATATGGTTTCTGTCTTGTCATTCATCCGCTCTTACAGAACTTGCATTCGCGCTTGAAATTGGGTTTTTTTTCGGCGATGGATGGGAAACTTCGCTACAAGACCTTCTCTGCATACGCAAGGACTGACTCACTCGGATTATCCCTGAACGAAAAGAAACGCGAAGTAACTGTTTTCGGACCCGACAAAACATTGAGGAAAAATTTCGCGACGTGTTTCCGACGATTGTCATCATAAACGCCTCAAATCAGAATTTGCTTGGAGCCGGTCTTGGTAAAAAAGCCGTCGAGACTCAGCTAGAAGACAAGCTGAATCAATTGGACACACTACTGGAGAACTTAACACAACTACGCAGCCAAGCAGCCTTCTATATGCTGAAGAATAGCTCTTTCATGCCTAAGTTGATGTACATTTTAAGAGCCAGTCCTGGATTTCCGTACACTGAACTCCTTGAAAAGTTCGATATGCGCATCAGACTCGAACTTGAAAACGTTTTCAACTGTATCATCAACGACGAAACATGCCATCAAGTTTCACTGCCGACAATGCCCGGTGGTTTCAGCATCCTCAGCACGAAGACCCTCAGCTCTTCTGCTTTCATCTCCTCTTTCTGTGCTACTTCGTCGCTAAGAAGTGGCGTCAATCTTCTCAACTTCATATCCAGCTTTCTCTACAACCGCCAACATTTCGTAGAACATCGGCGCCACTGATCGAGAATTATGAGTACCAACTGCGGAGTGCCACAAGGAACTGTTTTGGAGCCGGTGCTCTTCAACATTGTCTACGATGCTTTGCAGCTACCTGAAACTATTAAGGGAAGCCTGTCAAAATATGCTGACGACGGAAATGATCTCATACCCGTAGATGAACATGTGAAAGAAACTATCGAAGAGATAGCAAAACACAGAAACGATTGGTGTGAGAGAAACAATTTTCACCTGAATGTAAATAAAACTAAGCTCATGATGATTTACCATGCGAGACCAGATGATATCGATATTGGAAAATAGATGGAATCCAGCCTGAAAATCTCAAGTGTGACATTTGATCCTAAACTCAACTTTGCTAATCATATTCAGTCAGTTCGAAACCGTGCCTCATAGAACCTTTATCTTTTATAAGCTCAATTGTCTAGGTTATGAGAAAAAAGAACTCGAACTACTATACTAGTCGCTGGTTCTGTCTATTTTGACCTATTGCTTGAGCGTTTGGGCTGGAGTGAGTCAAGCACAACTGAACAAGTTGGACAGTGTTCAGAGAAAAGCTGAGCATTTGGGTATCTTGGAGGATTTCAAAACGATGAAGACCATTCTACAAGAAAGAGATGCTTGTTTTTTCGAGAAGATTTCAACCCAGTCTGAACACGTGCTGAAAAAAACTCATTCCAGAGCGCTCTTGTTTTGCGCAAACGACACTCCGCAAAAGACTCCCGCCAACATCAACCTCAGGTTCAGGTTGTTGGATAGAGTTCAGAATAGCATCCGCCATTCGCATCAGTGCCCCAGTCTCTGCACACTACAAATGTAAGTGTGGCACTACAGGCAATACGGATGGTTACCCTGCTCTAATTTGTCCCAAAGTTAAACTCTGGCTCACTCGTTATAAACAGTGCAATGTACTCATACAAAATTTTCTGAAGACTGTACGTTTCACGAACATTTTCGGACTGTTACGGCGCAATGGACGACGCCCTGACGGTTTAACTCTGACGCCTTGGTCACGAGGCAAGACTTAAGCATGGGATTTTACGTGTGTTAGCATCAGTTCAGGTGTTTTACCGGGTTCCAACGTGAGAACAGATGCCGAGGTAAGAAAACGACGTTTTTACTCAGATCTTCCAAGTACGGTCATCTTTGAGTCAATTGCAGTTGAGAATTTAGGAGGTATCGGCAAAACAAGTCTAGCCAACTTTTCTACAAGAGCTAGCCAACAGAATCAGGTCAGTCACTGGAGAACCCAACTCATTCAGGTACTTGAAACAACGCCTTAGCCTGCATTTCAATGAGGCAATGCGGGCTGCGTACTGGAGGCGCTTGAGGAAACTAGTTGCTAAGCCGTTCATACATTCCATTCTGTTCATTTCTATCATTCTTTTCCTAATTGAAATTTTTAATCCACTTCTCACCCTTCGGTTTTGACCAGGCAGGTATTACAGCATTGCTCTCTGTGGAAGCTAATCCAGTCCTTGTGTTAGTCATTACTCTATGTGAATTTCCACAACCATTATTAAACTCTTTTCAAAAAGTTTCAGCTAAATTGTTATCTCATTAATGTGTATGTCATCATGATACCTTTTTTCTGTCAGTTATTGCTTAAAAAGTGCCAGATTTTCTTCTGGGCTATGTGTTGAAGAATGTTTGATGCAACTTATAATAGCAAAATATTTTTTAAACTTCAGATCACCCTACAAAACGTAACGTTCGGAATGAGTTTCATCCTTTTTCATTTTCAGTTTGTTATAAAATGCCGACCTTGCAAAGTCTTACACAACAGGGCAATGAAAATGACTCTATCATTGAATCAGCACTTGTTACTAAACAAAAAGCAGATATGGGTAATGCTGCAAGAAATTGTTGGATTTCCTTGGCTCCTTCAAAGTACGGAAGGGGGAGCAGGAAGAAATCTCAAAAACACAAGAAAACCTGCTTTTCGTCTAAATTGAGAAAATCAATTGCATTGTTTGATCCTAAAACAGTAGAAGTCAAGTAAGTGAGAGGCGCGTTCATGATTTCAAATCTGGTTTCAGTATTTTTGAGTAATCTGCAAATTATCCCAAGACACGGATTTGATTAATATCAATTTGTTTCAAGCTTTGAGTCAATAATTCCTCTCACCGTACTCTGGGAACAGTACATGGAAACAATTTTTCCAAGGTAAGTTCAAATAGTTAAACTCAATTATCTGAATCCTTCTCTGGAATTAAATCTGTTTTTGCTTCAGGGATCTTGATCTGTCCAATACCTTAAGATTGTACAAATGTGAATTAACTGGAGCTGTAATCATAGGTAATTTAGTGAAAGCCTTGCCGGGTTTCCAGAAAGAAAAGAAATTACGCGACTTTTTTGTTGCTAATCTTATGTTTTATTTAGTGGCAGAATCGCGATGTAAGTCCTATGTTGGAAAAAATGGGATTATTGTTCAAGATTTGAAAAACAGTTTTCGAATTGCTACTCCGCAAAATAGATTACTGAGTAAGTTAGAGTTCTGGCTCATTTAATAAGCTTCAATAGTTTCATAGTGATGGTTTAATGGTCATTTGTTTTTGTTTTAGTGATTCCCAAAGCTGGCTCTATTTTTCTAACACATTTCAAGGATCATGAAATCCGTCTGAAAGGAGATTTTTTGGCTCACAAGTCTTACGAACGATCGCGATCAAAATGTAAACTGCAGAACATAAAGCGAACTGTCTAGAACAAATGTCAATTTATTTGTTTGTGCGGGCTGATTACACACAAGCCAAGTGTAGTGTAATATTACGAAGATTTTTTTCTAACCTAAGTCGCACTTTTCGTAGAAATTTAAATTTTCCTCAAATTACTATACCATTTTCCATAAAAAATGTTACCAATGGACAAACGGGCTGCTCTTCTATTTGCCTGCATATTTCGGTAGTCTCTTTTCAGTTTACCCCATGCTCTACGTCCTTCTGCTCTACCCCATGCTCTACGTTAACCCAAGCCCATTTTTTGATATTTTGGTTATTTCTTGAAACTTTTCTCAAAAAGAACTGTGCGTGTGCCAAATCTGAAGTTAAGGGTATAACCGAAAGAAAAAAAACAGATATTTGAATTTTCCCCGCGCAAGCTATGCACAGCGTTTTGAAAATAATCATGGTCTTAGAAAATGTCCAATTTTTGAAGTTTTGCCCGTTTTTTTTTGGGAAAAAGTTGATTGTTAATTCAAACTAACATGGCGCTTAGATTTTCTCTGCGTAATCTGTTTCACTTTTTTTTCTGTAGAAAAGCCGATATGGATTTCGGCAAAATCCATTTTTACCGATTTTTTTTTTTAGAAATTTCATCGCTTTTCTCGACAACTACTGGCTAAATTTGATATTAAGAGTTCAATCAAAAAATCAGAGCGTGGAAATCTCTGCGTTAGAGAAAAGGAGATTGAGGAAAAGTCAAATTTGTGATTTCTTATAGTTTTTTTCGGAATCTTTTTCTTTTTTTTTCGAAAACATCCCAGCTAAATCTGAGAAAAAGAATTCTATTGAAAGAGCGATTAATATTTTCCTCCTTTTAATAAGCAGCTTAGTTCTTACTTAAGCAGAGAGTTTACCAGGGTTTTGCGTAAAGCCCGTTTTTTGAGATTTGAAAATTACCCATTTCCGTACCAGGGCAATATATGATTTAAAAAATATATAAAAACAGGTACATCCAGCATTAGCTGGGCCAATAATTTACTTTCAAGTGACCGTGGCGAAAGGACGTCGGAGAGACAATCATCAGGCCGGAGATGCAAATCCGGAACATGAAGTTGTTTTTTTTTCGCTCGAATTTTTGCTGCTTTATTGGTCGCTGTTGTTAGTAAAATTACAAGACTTTGTGAAGCAGATGTGAGAACGTGATACTCTTAATCTCAAAATTGACATTCCATCTTTTATCAGGTGTTTTTAATCTTTTCCTTTTTCCTTATTTCACTTTGTTTTGCCTGTTTAGAGCTTTTTTTTGCATTTTCCTTGCTTGTGTTTGCAAAGCGCAGCTTCGCCTCTTTGCTTAGATAAATGTTCTTAAGAGTCAATGAACGTCATGAAGACACTATTATAGGTCGTGTTGATTTTATAAAGTTTTTTCTTCAGGAAAAAATAAATGATTACTCTCAGTTATAATTTTATGCGGATTGACTTTTGTTTTCTTTAAGTTTAATTCAAATTCAGTTGGTAAAAAGAAGACAAACTCCGCTTCAGCTGTCGAATTCCGAATGTGCAAATGGGGCAAAAAAAACGTGAATTAGTTTAATTTCGAAATTGGATTGAAGATGTAGGAATTTCAACTTGAATAAAAATCTATCGGTCCCTTTTCTCATTTGGTTGGTTATATCAAATAATGTCAATCATAAGGATTCGCGAAACTCAAAAAACTTATATTTTTTTTTAGTTGTTTGACTTTGAATTTTTTAACAGTGAGCTTGTAAAAAAATGCTTTCACGGGAAAAAGCATTTGTTTTCTGTTCCATTAGTTTGACATTTTGTCTGATGACTATGCTTCAATTTGCTTTGCAGAAATATTGTTTTAATGGTTAAAAATTTACTGCTGCGGCTTTGAAGTTTTAGAAATGGCCCCATCTTAGCTAAATTGCTGAAACCGTGTCAACTTTGGTTCACAGTATATTAAAAAAGCATTGATCTGAATCACCTCGTATGTTATCACTCTTGTACTGCTCCAGTTTATAATTGAGACAATATTTGCTTTAGACGTCTCTATGAATGATCATTGTTTTCAACTATTATTTCTACCGATCGATTGAATTTCAGTTTAATGATGAGTTTAATTGGATGATGTCATCAATACCTTGGTGGAAGGTTCTTCCCGCACTGATATGCGCTTGTAAGTTGAGTATTTGCTATAAACATTTTGCATAAGCGGTAATTTCTAACAATCAACAAAAAGCACGATGATAAATTTTCCGGCAATGATGTAGCAAAGCTTACTGAAAACGTTGCATTAATTAATCACACTCCGGAAGGGTCTAAAACTACAACAGTTCCAGCAGCACTATGCACTTCTCATATTTTTAACCATCTAGAAATGAGTAATTTTATAGTCGCCAGCCGTGAGTACTATCTATCGTATTCAATGAATGTGAAAACGCTACAAACTTACCTCAAGCTGAAGCAACTTGAACAATCCCTTAATGTCTCCTTGTGAATGACTCTGTTTTGTGAACTTGAAATAATGATAGCTGGTTGCTGTGCATGTAGCTCATAATGCTCGGACCACATACCATTGACCCCTCGATTTTCCCTATGATTTCATTTTACGAGCTTTCCTTAAGTAATCATGATCGGTCTGTAGCTTCACCTTATGCAACAGTTTCTCAGGGCACTTCGTGGCGTGATCGGATAAAAAAAACATTATTTTCTTCTCAGAAAATAGAAACGTTATATTGTTGGGGAATTGCAGTTTTTTTCATTAGTTGATGTTGTGTTCAGTTTTAATTCGGGTTTTGAATGTTCTTATTGGCTGTTATTACCCTCTCAATATTTTAGAACCAGTGGGATCTAGCTCTAACCCATCAGATTCTACCACAACTTCTGAAACCGATCGAAATGGTTCAAGTGATGATGCGTATTATATTAATTCTATCATGGGTTTTGACATCTTTGCACACTCTGATCAAAGAGTCGAATGCAACTCACAGTTCATTGAATATTTTGGCTCCAATCTTACGTCAACATTGGAGACAGTTTTTCGTGAAACTATTTTGAGTGTAAAAAGAGAAGGTGCGAACGCACAAAACGCGAACTGCTTCAATGAAATAGTCGAGATCTCAATAACAATTGGTAATGTGACTTCAGCTGAAAGGGGAAGCGAAATAGTTCTGCTTTTGAAGAACCTACCGGATATCGAATTTGCGATTGACTTATTGGATTCAGAGTATGGGCTGGTTTTGAGACAGTTGTCTGTAAAGATGACTGTTCATGGCATTGAAAAAGAGAGTCGTAGCCATCGAATGCAGAACATCGTTTTTGTGCTTGTGGTAGCAGGGGTAACAGTGTTTGTGGTGTTATTGTCTGCAATAATATCTTTGAGGTATTTTGAACAGCTCTTTGTTTTTCAACTAAGCCCTGCTAGGACTAATTCCTTTTCTGCTAAATTATGTGTTATAGCAAATTTTTCGTTATAGCAAAGTGGTGGACTACCATTGGAACCGAGTAAGTGAACAGCAGTGGCTAAAATCTTTCGCATTCTTGGACGATAGACATCAGTTCAACAGCAAAGTTACCATCTCAACCATCAGCCACTACGACATCAACAGTCCTCTGCACATCCCGAGGCCGATAGTATTCTACGCACCAAGTTCGGAGTCTTCGCTGGAACGGTTCACACCTCCCTCGAACCCATCATGGAGTGTTCCATATTTCATCGAGCCGAATGTTATTGCAACCTAATTAGAATGATACAATAAATCTCTTATTCAATCATTTCATGAAGCTCAATTGTCATCAGATCTAAAGTGCTAATTTGTCATCAGTTCTAAATCTTGAGTTAATTTGACTTAGACGGTATGGTAATAATGACGTTTGATTGCATTTCGAGAAGTCCTGCAGGTATATCAAACCATGTTGCCTTTGTGCTACAATTCAATGAATAGCGTAGGCGAATCGTATATTTACTATCAGTTATGTCATATCACACACTAACCCTACAAAATTTTGGATGCATTGGGTAGTAAAATTGAAGTACTCCAAATTAATTTAGTTCCGAAATAGATTGAATATATTTTTTCAGAATTATCTATTTGTAATAGAAACGCCAAATTTTTGACGAGCGTTTCTAATTTTTCCGCAATAAAATTTTTAAATGAATTGAATTTCCTTTATTCGGGTCGTTTTGTTCATCATTTTTTTGTAAGTCATGATTGCATTTGCGTTAGTTCGTTAACATCTTTCTCTAAAAATTGAGGTGCTTGTAATCGGGATCTAAACTTTTTTTCCAACTTACTACTTACATCTTACAGCTTTTACTTCAAACAGTTCTTACATATGAACTGACCAGCTTTGATCAAGTAGAAGTCAATTATGATCAGGTTTTGAGTTAACATTTTATACGAAGAACTTAATTGTGAGCATGTCTTAATTTTGAATTTCTCTCAATCGAAAATTGTGCTCGATTCAGGCTGGGAGCCGATTGTTTTAATTGATTTTTTTTTTCAGTTCTTGTAATGTAGTTCTTGCGGGGTATTAGTTAAGTATTGAAAAAAATGTTGATTTTTTTCGGATTTGTGGTTTTTTGTCCTAATTTCTATCGGCTGATTTTCCGTTTTTGTTTTCAAATGCAATTTATGTTATCTGCAGGGTTTCCACGCGGTCAGGGCCATGTCAGGGCTGACAAAAACTTGTCAGAACGAGCAAAACTGTGTTAGGCTCAGGATCGTGAAAGTGTTGCTAGCCTTTTAGTTTTTACTTCAAAGTTTAAATTCAATTAGTTTATAAGCGTTAACCTCAAATATTTTTGCGGGTATGAGTCGCGAACGTTCAGTCAAGGGAAGATGTAAGTTCAATGAAGACTGGTTTCAAGATGGTGAATTTAAATTGTGGGTTGCTAAATCAACAACTGAACACGAGTTCAGATGTGTTCTTTTTAAGAAATCGTATACGCTGGGCAACATGGGTGTCAAAGAACTCCGCTCCCATGCAAGACAAAGCAAATTGCATGCACAGCTGGTCGCGCTTAAAATGCAATCCCTTCGTTCGTAAGAACATGTTGAAGATGTCCAAGTCGTAAGTGGCCCTGTAGTTGAGCCAGCTACTCCAGTGGTTGAGACTACAGCATCTGCCAGAAAAACTCCTTTTCTGGTGGATGACGATACTCGTAAAGCAGAAATTCTTTGTTTTGCATATGATTAATTTGAGTACTTCCTTCAAAAGTGCGGATGACCCGAGTGAACTCTTCAAAAAGATGTTTTTTGACAGTGAAGTTGCGGGCGGGTATTCATGTGGGAGAACGAAGGCCACATACATTGTGAAGTATGGCCTCAGTGATATCTTTAAGGACATGATTCTGTACATGAAGTTAGTCGATTCAAAAAAATTATCCAGAACTGTTTGCAGCAGTTAGTAAGTTGTTACTTCTTGCTCATGGAACAGCGAATATCGAAAGCGGGTTTTCCGTCAACAAAACTGACAATCGAAGACAACCAGACTCTTGACACTCTTATTGCATTACGGCGTTGTAAAGACGGTCTGAAACACTGCGGTGGAATGCTAAAGTTTGAAGTATCTAAGAGCGTATTAACTGCTGTTAGAGGAGCTAAAACACGTTACGAAAGGGATGTGAAGAGCAAGCAGTCGGAAGGTAAAACTGCAGAGAAAAGAAAACAGGACAAAGATATAAACATGGCGGCTGCAAAGATAAAGAGACTTACGGACGAAGTCAAACATTTGATTAGTGTTGCGGACACGAAAGCAAAGGAAGCTGAAAACAAGAAGTCATTGAAGCTTAAGATAGAGTCGAATGTTCTCCGGGAGTCTGCAAAACGCAAGGAGTCAGAAATTGTGAGTGCCGAGAAAGAACTTGAAAAACTGAAAACAACCATGTAAGAAGAAGATAATTTTTATACTGATGTTATTTCTGGTAGTTCAGCGTTTTTTGCAATTTTTGAGACTAAATGTCAGGGCCTGAGCTTCAAAAATATCAGGACAGTGTTCAGGGCTGTCAGGACGGCAGTTAAATTATACCGCGTGGCAACCCTGATCTGGTTAGTTTTTCCAGCAGTTCTTTTTGAATGCTGCGGTTTAATAGTTTTTTTTACTGTCTTGCCATGCTATTTTCAAAACTTGTTTTTAAGTTTAATTAGATCTTTTGTTGTTTCGAGCTAGCGGCTTTCTCGTATTGTATAGTGTGAAGCTTCGCCGGTGTCTTCCGGAGAAATTAAGTTTTTCAAAAAATTGCCCCAGTATTGATTAAACTTTCTGATTTTAGCCTATCTAAAGTTTCTGAATTTTAAATTAAAAATTTCGAGCCAATAAAGCGAGCGATCAGGCTTTCAATAGCTTATTAATGATTAGCTTAAGCCGTGAAAACTTAATTTTATTCGTGTAAATTTAGTTTTTCTTTAGCATTTTGTTGGTATATATTTTTTGATATAATGGTCGAATCAGTCTGCTACTTGCACAGTAACCGGCTATCCTTGTTTTTTTTCTTCAATCGTTTCTTCGGCTCATGTTATATCGGTATAGTTGCCTCGTGATACTTTTTTTGATGGACGAAATAATATGTTTTTTGGCGTTTGTAGCTCAAACGCCAAAACTTTTCGTAGCTCAAAATTTTTGAGACACGTTTTTTGGCTTACTGGTCGTCTGCTTAAGTATTGTCTGCATTGTATTGTCTGAACCTCTTGATGAATTTTGTTTCATTACTAATTTGACGTCGATAACTGTGTTTCGCCATTTTTTCTCGAAACAAAGTTGAATTCACTCGAAACAAATTTTGTTTTTTTTTTGGGTCATTTCCATCGTAGTGGTTTTCATCTTAATTTTTTTTCGGCCAGTTACCGTGCTTTTTTGTGTTTTATCATTTTAATTAAAAGCGGATAGTTGTGTTTCTCTGTGTACTTTCTTCAATAAGCATATTATTAGAGATGAATGGAAATTTTATAGATCTAAATTTTGACAGTATTCTCGACAAGGGACTTCTGTCTCATTTTCTGCCGGCTAGCGTGCCATGCAATTTTTGTTTTCAATTGCAAGTGACGTGAAGCTTGGCTTCGTCTCTGTTTCCGAACTATTTTGCTAGTTCAAATTATTGATATAAAACGAATATTAGTGTGGAAACTAGAGCGTCGTTCTCCTCAAATCGGATTGCAAAAATGATGATGACCGTAATTTCTTTTACCAAAATGACTACGTTGTTAAAACATTTTTTACCTTATTTTTACACTAAAATGACTTTTGGCTCGATTCATGCGATTTTGGCTTGAAAGAACGAATTTTGGCTTGATTCATGCAACTTAAAATAAGGAAAAAAAGTTATCCTTTTTTGAACAAATTATATCAAAGGATGGCTCTTACTTGGTTAAAATAAGTTCCACGAAGACAAAATCCCTGACTATGTTCAATCCTTTCCAGTTTTAAGTTTCTGCTTTTTTCAGATTTACGATGGGAATTTTCAGTCCAGGTGGAGACATGAAGTCTCACGTGATCACTCTAGCAGCTGGAGTGTCAGTCGGATTCGTGTTGGCCAAACTGCTAGCAGGTGTTCCTATGTTTTTCAAGCTCACTTACAGATCAAAGAAAAATCAATCAGGGACTAATACCACCAATTTACAAACTGCAAGAGCGCCTCCAGGTGACTATAAACTGGTGATCGGCGCCAGGCAAGATTTGCAAATGGGCAAAGGAAAAATAGCTGCACAATGCTGTCACGCTGCTGTTGCTTGTTTTGAAGATGCGCAAGAGTCAAATGAGAATATTCTAGAAGAATGGATGGACCAGGGTCAAAGGAAGATAGTAGTCAAGGTGGAGTCAGAGGAACAGTTGGAGCAATTGTACGAACATGCAAAGACAGTTGGATTGATAACTTGTGTAATTGAAGATGCGGGGAAAACCCAGATTGCTGCTGGGTCTAAGACTGTAGTAGGCGTTGGACCGGGACCCGCCTCTGAAATTGACAAAGTTATGGGGCACTTGAAATTGTATTAATATAAAAGTGGTTTTATGTTCATCCATTTCTGCTTGCTTTCGCTCCAAGAAAGGGTCCATTGAACCTATCAAGGTTACTGTTGATATCAAATTGATTTTTTTGTGATGTTGTGATGCACTTGTCGGTGTCAAGATAAATGTCTCAGATTATTTAAATTTGAAAGTCTGCTTGATTGAAATGATGTTTTTTAGATGTAATGGGTGATGGTTTAATCAGCATAATATTTAAATGGCAGGGCCAAGAATACGAACTGCAAAATCTGGAAGGGTCAACTTCAGTTGTTGAAATGAAACGCCAATTACAGTCGAAAACTAAAGTGAGTCCAGGAAATCAAAAACTAATCGGCCTCAAGTGTAAAAAACCGGGAACTGCAGTTACGGATTCGACTCTAATTTCGGATCTGGTTTTGAAGAAAAACATGAAATTAATGATGATGGGAACTATTGATGAAGAAATAGAGAAAGCTAATGAAGTGCCAGATGACCTCCCAGATGTAGTCGATGATTTTGATATTCCGACTATGGATGACCTGCCGGCTGATCGAAGAGAGGAGTTTTTGGCTAAGATTCAAAGGAGGGTGAAGGAGTACAAAGTTGAAGTGTTTCACCCGCCAGAGGAGAATAAGAAACTTCTAGGGGCCGACTGATTTTCCTATGTTGTCTGTTCATTATTTGTTCTCAAAAGTTAATTTTTACTAAGCTGTACTTTAAAGGATTTTTAGATAAACAAAAAATGTATTTGAAACCGGAAAATTTGCGTTAGTTCAAGTTTTCGATACATATGGACGGCGCAAATTTTATCTATCTTGTTTTTTTTTTATCAATCAACCTTGATTGATTTAAAGCAGAAAAATAGTCAGTTACTAGAAGTGCGTGATGTGTCTTGATTAGTGTTGGACATAGACTACACTTTATTCGACCACAGATCAGTAGCTGAGAATGGACTTGAACTGATGCGGCCTTACTTGCACGAGTTCCTAGCGGCTGCCTATGAGAACTACAACATTGTGATCTGGTCTGCCACTGGCATGAAGTGGATCACGGCCAAGATGGAGGAACTGGGAGTGAAGAACAATCCCAATTACAAGATAGTGGCCTATTTGGATTCTATGGGTTAGTTTGTCAGTTGATGTGCCGCATCTTGTTAACTATCCCCCTCGCCACCCCTGTGGCACCTTGTAAAGAATTCCCACCCCTATAAAGAACCAATTTAACGATTAAACATATGTGAATTTTTTTCTTGTAACTTTGTTGTCTCCTTTTGCAATTAGGGGGTTAGTTAGCCAGATCCAATGTACTTAGCTGTATATATGATTTGCGCCCATTTGAATGTCTTTATTGACGACCGAATACTTCTGCAACGCTAATTAAGAGTCATGAACTTAGTGAATACTTTGTTTTTTTTCAGGCACAAATTTGATATTTCCCGTTTTGGTTTCACTTTGATTTCTTTTGAATTTCTGCGCATTTCCCCTGTTAAAAGGAAGGCAAACTTCACTATCAAACAGCAAAAGGAAGGTCACAAAAACTTGATCGACTTCTAGTTTCGAATATGGAATTTAATTTTCAGATTTCCAATCGAAATAAAAAATTTTCCTTTTGATCCAGGTTTCTCAAAATTTGTCAATTTTATATAAAAAAGTTTCGATCAAAAATTGTTCTTTAAATTCTAAGGCCTTAATGCCATTTGTTTTTATTTGAAATTCAAAATTTGAAGTTTTTCGTTCATTTTTTTTTGCGTTCATGACTCTTTTGCAACTGTCTGTTATAAATTGTGCGAGTGGCCGTGTAGTCCCTTAACGTTTTTAAACAAATGCCCAAATTTTGTCGGTCTGATGATCTGAAACAGCGTTTGTAGTTAGTTGAAATTTCAACGGATGCAAACAAAAGGTCTGGTGATTAATTAGACTCACCGTTCGTTGTGACAGATAGTAGTCTTCAAATCTATACAATAGATCATTAATTCCCAGTTCCTCTTAAAGCAAGCAAACTAAAACAAAATTGATGCTGAAAGTTTTTGGGAGTGCTCTCTGTTCGGTCATCTAGGTGCAGGCGACTGGACACAAATATTAAGGCGACTGGACACACAGACTGAAAATAAGGTGACTGGACACAAAGACGACATGACAATAAGAAGACTAAATAAATTTAACCCCATGATTGGTTCTGTTTTTCGAAGTCTAAAACCTTTCTAAAAACTGAGAAAGTAATTATTATGTTTGTCTTTATTTTCAATTAGTCGTCTCAACTACTGGCGTACTATGTGCCGACCCCAGGTCATATAACTTGAGCTTAAATACTGTAAACTCAGACAATTTTTCAGCAATGATAACCGTGGAGACAAAAAAATACGGCCTTATCGAGACTAAACCTTTGGGCGTGATTTGGGGAAAGTACCCGAGCCTATTCAGTGAGAAAAACAGTCTTCTAATCGATGATCTCAAACGCAACTTCTTAATGAGTCCCAGAAATGGACTGAAAATTCGTCCTTTTGCTCGTGCTCACAGGAACAGAGATACAGACCGGGAATTGTTCAATCTGATCCCGTTTTTGAGATTTTTGGCACAGCAAGAGGATTTTACTACGATATATTTTGATCACTGGGAGAGCTATATCAGAAAATGAAAGTTATATTTGTTGCATATCATGTGTGAAAGATTTGTGATTGCCATGTTAATATTAAGATATATTTTTGATTGGTATTGATTTTGTGTTTTTAATTCAAAAGAACTATCAAGTGAAATAACAATCTAGCCCAAGAATTCTTAACCGAAGATTAAGCTTTGATGCTTAGTTGTTCAGATTGATTTTTAAAGGCTATTTTTCTTTTGCAATCTGAATCGCAATAACATTGTTGAAGTTGCTCTGTTGTTTTCGATATATTTCTAACAGGTCGTCAGTTGCTATTTTCTGGTTTCTTAGTTGCTTTACGAACAAATTTTTTCAACCCCATTAATGCCAATCCAGTTTCAAAAAATTAATCGAAAAAGAATAAAAGAACAAATTTGTAATGAAAAAAAAATAAGGAATATGACCAAATCAGTTTGGTGGCGACTTTGTTGAAGTTAGTGTCAAAATGCAATAAAACACTGTCGAAGCAACGCAGGGACCCGTAGAGACTTAATTTTACCGCATTTTTATTGACCAAATGAAATTGAAAAGTTCGAAAATGTCTCGAGACTTTCTTCGTTTGCTTAGCGTCAACCGATCGAAACAAATTAATTTAGTTTATCAACGTAATTTTTTTGAAACGTTCCGATTTGAACCGATGGGTCAGTGATATAAACTCTCTGAGATGTTTGGTTCGAAACCCGAGTTAATCACAGAACAATGCACATTTCGCGCGCCTGAAATAAATCGCTAATTTCTGACAAAAGCGGTTGAAAAACTGAAAACGCGCTATATTCTTGTCTAGAAGTCTGACTACTTAATATGCCTTGTCGTAATTTCAGATCGCTAAAATGGTTTCTCTGACAATGCAGAAACGACTGGCCGCCTCTGTGCTCAAGTGCGGCAGGAACAAGGTCTGGCTGGACCCGAACGAGGTCAACGACATCTCCATGGCCAACTCGCGCCACACAGTCAGAAAGTTAGTTAGGGATGGTCTGATCATCAGGAAGCCATGTGTGGTGCACTCCAGATGGCGGGTGCGACAGAGACTGCTGGCAAAGAGGAAGGGACGTCACTCCGGACCAGGAAAGAGGAAGGGAACCAAGGAGGCCAGAATGCCCAGCAAGGTAAGCGAACCATCATGTAGATTTGTTACGAGGAAGAGGGGATGGAGTAAATTGCGAAAAGGCAAAAAATGGGACTAGAGAAAAGGAAAGAGCTAGACTTTTGCTCCAAGGATTGCAGCTGCGTATGTTTTTTTGCTCTCTCTTAATCTATTTAGGTTTTTGTTGTTGTCTCGTGTGAAGTCCCTTTGTAAATAGATCTTATTTACTTGGTTATCATAGTTAGATTAATCATATTTCCTTTGTGTATTCATATTTCTTTTGTATCTTTCTTTCTTTGTTTTGTATTTGATTCCGTTGTATCTTCTTGTTTCATATATATTTCCAGAGTTGTATATCAATCAAAGTGATAAGAGAAGAAACAGTCGAAATTAGAACTATGAAATGGTCGTCGGGTTTGCAGACAAACAAGTGAGGGTTGAAGAAGTCCGAAAACGAAAAAGGGTTATATTTGAAATAAAATGATTTTCCCTAACAACAATTACAAACAAGAAGTTTAAAAAAGGGGGTTTTGAAAATGATAATTATGAATTGAAATCAGTGTAAAAGCAAATTATTTACCGTTGAAGTTAAAGCAGTAGAAAGTAACTCTCTCTCTCTCTCTCAAGCCATCAAGAACCGAAGTCAGTTGATTTTTGCCGTCAAAACAAGGTTAAAATAAAAACATAAGAGGATCCAAACCTGGGCAGGGTCGGATGTTTTTAATGAATTTTTCCGTATACTAGTTAAAATGCGTCCGCTCTATAAACTGAGGCATGTTAGTTTTTTTTTCTTATTGACTGGTTTTGCTAATGGGTCATAATTGGCTTGCGTCACTTAGCAATTATGTAGACTCAAAATTGGCATGCGTCACTTAAGAAATTTTGTAGACTCAAAGTTTTACTCATTCAATTTTTCCCAGAAGCGTTATCGGTCATATTTTTGCTTGTGTATGTATTGCTCTGTGTGAACCAAAGTTTGTGCTAACTCGGCCATTTTGCGATATGGACCGATAATCTAAAAGGACCATTCTAAGCACTGTACGGGGTTCTATGCCCTGGTTAATAAATACATAATGCCCGATTGAGCATATAAAGTGACTTTTGTTCAGGTGCTATGGATGAAGCGGGTCAGAATCCTCCGTAAACTGATCCAAAAGTACCGAAAGGCAAGGAAGATTGACAAGCACCAGTACCACAGCCTGTACTTGATGATCAAGGGAAACGCCTTCAAGAACAAGCGAGTGCTGATGGACCACATCCTGAAAGAGAAGGAAAAAGCGATGCGACTGAAGAAACAGAACCAGCAGGCAGAGCACTTCAGGGCACTCAAGAAGGCCAAGGTGATGAAGCGACGAGAGAAGAAACTGTCCCAGTCAGAAGCGGAGAAGAAAGCAGCCGCTGCTGCAGTCTCGGGAACGGCAAGTGCAGCCGGAACTGCTTAAAGCAGACCATAAATGCAGACTCACCAGCCACTCACTCATCAGTTAATTTTATGTATCTGCCAATATTGGTATGGAATTGAAGTTTTGATGAGATTTTGTTCTTGAAGTTTCCTCGATCATATGGATACTTGAGCGCGTGGAAAAGTAGATGAATACATTGAAGGCGAAGTCGTTTTTTGTATGCGTGTGTAGATGACCTAAATCTGATTGCGCTAAATGAGAAAAAAATCGATGGAAGTCGATGAACGTATTTCAGACTCTTATAGAGGTCGCTATGATTTTTTTCAGCAAAAGTATTCAAGTTTATGCAGGCGCAAGTTTACTTTTACTCGGTTTGACTTTTTATTTCTTTTCAAGTTCAGTCATTTTTTTTGTTGAAAGGAAGGCAGACTCCACTATCGAACAGCTTCAGTGTAAAGGTCATGAAAAACGTGATCGACTTCTCGTTTGGAAAGGGCAATTTAATTTTCAGATTTCCCAGCGAATTGAAAATTTGTCCTCATTGATCCAGATTTCTCAAATTGTTAATGGTTAGTTTAGTCGAAAAGTTGACAATCATAATATGTTCTTAAAAATTTAAAGAGATATTGAATTTTTCAGTGTGAGTATTTTTTTCTGATTACTTGAGTTCATTGATTCTTTCATTGGAGGTTCAAAAGGCGATACTTCAAATGACATCGACTGTTAAAAGTTCATGAAACAAAATTGCTCGTGGCAGAGTGGAGCTTTTAAGTAATCTGCAGTAGTTTTGGTTCATACTTTTGCGATAACCAAGGTGTTTGCAATCGGGTGCTAGACTTTTTTCCCTAAATAACTTTGTTCACAGGACTCAAATTTTTGTTCACAGGACTCTTTTTTTTCGGCCAAATTTTTGTCATTTGATAATGAAGGATAATAGCTAATATTGAAAGTCAGCGACTGAGTGTTCTTTTTAAATTTTTCATAAGATGGGAAAATTTTAACATATTCATCTCTACTGAGGAACTCGATTTAGGAATTATTGTTCGTATATCAGATTCCTATATAGGCCGTGATGACTTTTTTAAGGATAAGTACCAAAATTTTTCCAGGCTCAAATTTGATTTTTCAAAGTCTTACTTTTCTTAGTAAGTTCAGTTCGTTTCATTTGTTCAATAGAAGTCAAACTCTACTATCGAACAGGAAAACTTTAAATGTCACGCAAAATGTGATCGATTTCCAGTTTTGAAAATGGGTTTCAATTTGTACACTTGAGAAAGCAAGCGCCTTGTAATCGGAAACTAAATTTTTTCCAGTAAACAACTTTTCTTACAAATCTTATCTGCTTGTCATTGAAGCTTAACAACTTAGATTGTTTCGCGCTTGGCTAAGAGGTAACACCGAAGTCTCTGAATTATAAGGTTAGGTGTCCCGGTCGGACATTTTTTCCAGCCATTTAGCAAAAACTTCCATTGTTAGAAAGCAATGGGTCATCATTTATGAAGCTGTATATGAACAGGAAAAAGCCTAACAAGGTGGTTGACTTTTGATTTTTTTTTCGCATTTTCCATGTGTTGTCTTGGCTTCAAATTTTTTCTGCCTTGTTTCCAACCGCCTTTCCATGCGGGGATTGTCGGATTTAAAAAAAAAACAGTCTAACAAATTCTCCGAGCTCTCTAAAATCTAAATAAAGAATCTTGCAAAAAGCTGCTTTGCCTCTGATTTAAAAGTATATAAGTTTCACTCCTTGGGCTGATTTTTGGGCAAAAACTTGATTAGACTGTGATTGTGTCGAATAAAAAGTTTTTCAAAAGAATAATTGGTTGGTCGTATTTTTAAGGAAATGCATGCACTATTCTGTCGATCCAAGCACGATAATGAGTGATGCGCGTGAAAAAACTTCCGCCGTTGCAAACGCTGTATGGTGGAGTGTTCGGGTCGGATATGAAGTAATCAGCCACACCATATAAACACTGAGGCATTTTATTGTCACATCTAAGTACATAGAGCGGTCCTCCTTCATCCATAAGACATATGTTGGAGCCTTCTCTGATAGAGTGAGTGCATATAGAACTCGCTGGACATGGTTGCGATTTAGTGTCAATGTACATGATAGGGCTTTCAGTCATGTACATCTCCTGAAGAACCTCTGGAATTATACTGTGGGACGTTGAATTTATTCCCATGCCACAAGTGGCCAGATACGTGAAGGGAGGTTGGGTTCGTCTGCAAAAGGGCAGAATTCGATAAGGTCCAGAAATTGGATCTGCTAGTCTGATGAGGGCTAAATTGACCGAGGGGAAGCTGAAAGTTTTGAACTTTTTACAATTATTAATTCATGCGTTAGAATTATTATTTACAATTAATAATTCAATTTTTAAAAAAACTTGTCCAAAAACCGTTTTTTGGCACTTTCTAGAAAATTTCAACCAGAAGATTGTGTTTTATCAGCGCGCACTTCCTCCGCGAAATTAATAAATATTGACGCCAAAGACGCTCCAGAAAAACTTTAGGATCCGTCAGCCAAAAATGAGTATCTCAAGATAGTACAAGTACTGTACAGGTATGATCGACGGGTACCAAAAAACTAATAACAGAGTCCTTATGTTGGTGCAGTCATTGAAAGTGGTTGAATTTATTACCTCGTTGATGACAATTAAAGCATCAAATAAATTAGCGCAATTAAGGCAGCTAAGTTGTGTACGTTTGAGAAAATGATTGAAAACGATCCAGCAGCGTCCATTGATTTACTGGAACGTTAAATGCTAAACTTGCTCAGCATTGCCGTAATTTAGGACCCCTCAATCGCACGTGGTTTTTACCGGGACCCCTCTGTCACACAAGTATCATTAAATATTATCAGCCAAAAATTCATAGCTTCTCAAAATTTTGTTCGCCAAAAACTATCCGAGACCAGTTGAAGGCAGTCGGAACATTCAAGGTTTTGCCCTGATAAGAGCAGTCTTGTTTTAAAATTTTAAGCCATTTCTTTTCTTATATCGAAATGAAATTAAGCAATTTTTTTGTGGTGAGCAGGTTTAGCTTTGTCAATTTAATATCAAAATCAAAGTTTTATTCATTTTTTAAAATTTTAAATTATTGGTGCTAGGGAGGCGCAAGAATAAAGCTTCAAAAAATAAGTGTCGCTGCTAAAGATTTATTTACTAAGGCTTAATTGAAAACCCTCCTCGCTCGCTTTAATTAGAACTGATAAAATACCTTGGAGACAAAAAATTTAAAATGTGGCAAAAACCGACAAAAAACTGAACAAATTAATGGAAGAATGTTTTCAACAATTTTTAGTAGAAGACACCAACTTAATTTCAAACAATAGAGAAACTGTGGATTGAGGCAAAAAAGAGTATCATTAAATTGTGTGACAGTCTGAAAATAAACGAAGAGTTCAAAGGACCTCAAACTTAGTAAAACCATGCTTGGAATATCCTTGACCTCAAAAACTCCAAAAAGATGTGGAAGGTGTTTAAAAGGGTTCTTCGCAATTTGTACTGCAAACTAACAAACCGACATTTCCGACCATCCTAAAAACCCTCGATGAAACATCGCTAGTGTAAAAACCTGGTAAAACATACCTGATTGTCATAAAAGTTCACTGAGTTTGAAAAAGCTTATAACCAATCTAAATTATGCGATTCTTGTCATTTTTGCGAACCGTAACTGAACGGGTTTCACGTTAGTTTATTTGCAGTACTTGGCTTGGCAATAGAAATAAAACAATACTGCTCGTCTCATGGCGAAGCCTTGAATATTCCGACAGCCTTTAAAGGTCTATGGAGCAGGTTTGTTTTAAAAAAATGATTATATTCTTAATCAAATAAGAAAAAAAAATAATTTTTCGAGCTTTTTTTAAAATCATCACCCCACACGCCATAATAAGTACAAAGTGATAGATTTTGCTACTACTAATTTAGCAATTATGAAAAAGGGCCTACTCAACTTGGAACGAGTTCTGAGAGCGGTTAAATCTCCGCTTACTCGCTAATAGCGCGGATTATATCGCTCGTTAATCGTCCCAAATTGGCAATATTTGCATTCTTAAAACCCACATAACTTATCAAAAAATAATAACAATTAAATATTTTTTTAAACTTGAGCTCAGGACAACAAAAATTTTTGGTTGATAAAAAAATCTGGAAAAAATTTGTAGTTAAGCACAAATTAAACACATTCGAATCAAAAGTGACTTCTTATTTTCAATTAAGCAACCACCAGTATTAAAAAAAATTCCTTCATAACCAAACACCTACAAAAACACACAGAAATGAGCTGTAGAACACTCAGAAAAAGGCTTTAATATAAGCATTTCCTTCAGAGCATCTTTTAGGAACTTAAACTAAGGCCAGGGTGCTTAAACACACCTTCATCTTTTCTTTTCTTGGGAATTTAAGATTTCTTAAATATTCCCTACAATTGTCATATGCAATCTTAATGTGTTCCTGTTCCTGTAAAAAACTCTAAGAAGCTGTTTTTGTCCAACACTGAGCTGCAGCCCAGAAAAATTCGAACACATGCAAACAGGAACAGGAACAATTTAGCGTTTCGAAAAAGATATCAAAAGCCAAAAAACTGAACAAAAATTTTACAGACAAAATTCTTTTAAAATTTTTACCTGCTATGGTAATTCACCAAAAATAATGTGCGTCATGAATTGATTTCTCTAGTCATGGAAACATGAACAACCCAACGATTCTACAAAGATATCAAAAGCCAAAACAACTGACCAAAAATTTTACAGACATTTGAAAAAAATTTTACCTGCCATGCTAATTCACCAAAACTAATGTCCGTTATAATTTCTTTCTCCAGTTATGAACAACAGATTTTGCATACTATTTTCATTCAATTGAAAATGTTTTGTTTTTGAGCGTCTTCAAAAGGATGAGCTCGAGGTCAGGACAGTCTAAAAAACAAAGTTTTTTTAAAAAGCCAGAACTATCGTAAAGTTTTTGAAAGTTAAATTTGAGTCAACAATTGTTCACTCTGATTAATGGTAATCACAGTTTTCAATCACTTTTTTAATGACACTACCTAGTTGATAACTAGTTGGGAAAACTAAAATTGTACGAAAATTAAAATTTAGCTAAACATTGATTGTTCACCCTTGCCATCTTTTTTAATTGGTATAACAGAATTTGTAAAACAATCTGTAAAAAAGAATTGGTAAAAAATTTTGTCAAACTTTTTTCAAATCCGTAATTTTGTCAATAAACAGATATATTGGGCGTGTGTGTATTCAGATTACTCATTTTAATTGAAATTCATTTCTTAAGTGGTTGTAAATTTATCAACTCCAGTTTTGTTTTATTTCAAATTTTTGTTATTTATTCTTTTCGATTTTGTCAGATTAAGTTACATCTTTAATTTAGCTAAGTGATGGTTGAAAAAAGGTTATTTTGAGTGTGTTTTTTTTGAGGGGAGAGGAGGCTTAAAGTTTCAAATATATGATAACTCTATCTTTTTTTAAACTTCAAGGGGTGTCTGCAAGGTCGGCTTGGTTACACCTTCCTAAATTTCGTTTTGATGCTAATTCAACACAAGTAATTGCCGTTTGAATTCACGAAAAACGGAGAAAAACGTGCAATTTTGTCGACTTTATTGTTTTGACTAACTTCCAATGGTCGAACTTGCTATATTCTATTTGTGATATATCACAAATGATGCAAAGCTTCTCTCGCTTCTGTGTAAAAAAAGGCAGCAGACAATTTTTTGGTACAGTATGATTTTTGTTTGGTTGCAGTGATTGCTGTATTAATGGTTTGCTACGCCGATATAAGAAAAACTTGGTGAATGCCCACATCAGTTAAAGTTTTCCTTTTTTTTCCCTGAATTAATTTTGCTCAAGTTAAGCTTTTTTAGTCCTTGTAAAACTTTGTACTAAGCCGTCCAGACAGGGGAAGATCTAGGATTTACTCCAGGGGCGGCGGGTTTTTAAAAAATTTTTCAGCCTTTTTTATAGGCTGAGTAAATTGATTTTTGGAGCTCTCCCAAAGCACTAGAAAGACCCTGTTTCGACCAAATTTTTTGCACCGCAGGCAAATTTATGAAAAACCGGGCAAAAAAGGCGTTTTTAAGCACTTTATAGAAAATTTTGACCAAAAACTCGCCTATTTTGGCGCGCGTTTCCCCCTCAAAATTAGTCAAAATTGGCACCAAAAATTTTAGGCTCTGCCAGCCAAAAATGGATATCTCAAAATAGTACAAATGGTCGAATCCCTAAGAGGAGGGGGCGTCCTAAATCCGCTAGTGCATCCAGGTACACATTTTGGACTCGCTGAATCGCAAAATGATCAAATTCAGCTTCAAATTCAACAGCCGCACGCTTAATATTCACGTGCTTGGGTTTACTCAGTGCGTGGATTCGATGTTGCAACCAAGTTAAATTAGTAAACTGAGAAAAAAATTGAACTATGTTGAGCGGATTTCGTAGATTGTCAAAACAGTGCTGATTTAAATTAACCAGACAAAACTGGACCCTAAACTGCATTTTACTCAAATTGGATTAGCATTAGACAAAAAGCGACGATAAAAAAAAGATGTTGGAATGTTAACAGAAATAGAATAGTGCAATTTGTTCGGCGAAAATTGGATTCAAAATTTGAACCCAGAAATGTTTTTTTTTGTCTCCGCCTAGTTAGTCAAAACATAGAAGTGGATCAACTGATGAGCAAATTACTGATGTCAAACTGCTGTCAAAGTGTGTGTCTTATGTAAACAAAGTTTAAAAAAGGCTTATGCTTCGAAATTTTGGGCAGAATGATTTTTAATGGGAGGGGGAGAGAGTGTAGTCAGAACAAAAGAGTTCAGCTTACCCGTCATTATGCACGTAGACCTTTTCAACCACGTGTGATTGCAGGGCGCTCATCGTGGCTTTCAGGGAGAAGAAAGATACTTCCACTTTGATGGCTTCAGCTAAAAGTAGATACACGTTCTCATCATGAACGCGAAGTTATTATGTCGACTTTTTCTAAGGTTCGAAAACAATCCTAAGTTGAGTTAAAATGAGTTAGCTCTTGAAAGGTAAATGATAATACTATCCAGTTGGTTCAATTTTCAATACTAAAAAATCAAAGGAAAAAACATTTCGTTTGCTAGATTTTTTTAAGTGTATTTTCTGCGCCCAAATTTAATGTTTTTGATTTTTTGAAACAGTGTTCGCAATGCTTGAACTCGATAGCTTGAAATATATCACAACCCAATGAAAGCTAGAAATTTCGTTCCAGATTTAGAAAAAATTGTCAAATTTTCACTTTTGGCCGTATTACAGAGTTGACCCAAAAACTCAGAAGCAAGAAAACATTTCCCTGTGAGTATGGATGCGAAAAAGAAACGTACGTCTGATTTTGCTGAGACAACTGAGTGCAGTTAAAATCCACTGAGGTGCAATTATGGAACCCCCGCATGTATAATAGTTGTCGAGTCTCCGGACTCGAACGTAGAAACGCCGCTCATAACTCGGCACTCCATTGATGATGCTCGACAATAAATGTTGGCTGAAGTTTCCTCTTTGATAATCCGATTTAAATGTTTGTACTTGCAGCAAAATAATGAGAAAAATGAATAAGGTCCACTTCATTATTGATATTTGACAATTTTCTGCTGAATTAACCGTTGTTTCAGTGACTTGTTCAACGATTCGAAGTGAACTTCGTCTAGCGGTTTATCAAATAAAGCGAAGCATCGAATTTAACCTTAGCGTTCACTTTTAAAGTGCAATTAAAAGCTCAGGACAGATGAAATTTGAAGATGACGAAATATCAGATGCTCAAAAGACCTTTCGATCTATTGTTATTAATTTTATTGGTTCTTACAAATCTTATCTGCTTGTCATTGAAGCTTAACAACTTAGATTGTTTCGCGCTTGGCTAAGAGGTAACACCGAAGTCTCTGAATTATAAGGTTAGGTGTCCCGGTCGGACATTTTTTCCAGCCATTTAGCAAAAACTTCCATTGTTAGAAAGCAATGGGTCATCATTTATGAAGCTGTATATGAACAGGAAAAAGCCTAACAAGGTGGTTGACTTTTGATTTTTTTTCGCATTTTCCATGTGTTGTCTTGGCTTCAAATTTTTTCTGCCTTGTTTCCAACCGCCTTTCCATGCGGGGATTGTCGGATTTAAAAAAAAAACAGTCTAACAAATTCTCCGAGCTCTCTAAAATCTAAATAAAGAATCTTGCAAAAAGCTGCTTTGCCTCTGATTTAAAAGTATATAAGTTTCACTCCTTGGGCTGATTTTTGGGCAAAAACTTGATTAGACTGTGATTGTGTCGAATAAAAAGTTTTTCAAAAGAATAATTGGTTGGTCGTATTTTTAAGGAAATGCATGCACTATTCTGTCGATCCAAGCACGATAATGAGTGATGCGCGTGAAAAAACTTCCGCCGTTGCAAACGCTGTATGGTGGAGTGTTCGGGTCGGATATGAAGTAATCAGCCACACCATATAAACACTGAGGCATTTTATTGTCACATCTAAGTACATAGAGCGGTCCTCCTTCATCCATAAGACATATGTTGGAGCCTTCTCTGATAGAGTGAGTGCATATAGAACTCGCTGGACATGGTTGCGATTTAGTGTCAATGTACATGATAGGGCTTTCAGTCATGTACATCTCCTGAAGAACCTCTGGAATTATACTGTGGGACGTTGAATTTATTCCCATGCCACAAGTGGCCAGATACGTGAAGGGAGGTTGGGTTCGTCTGCAAAAGGGCAGAATTCGATAAGGTCCAGAAATTGGATCTGCTAGTCTGATGAGGGCTAAATTGACCGAGGGGAAGCTGAAAGTTTTGAACTTTTTACAATTATTAATTCATGCGTTAGAATTATTATTTACAATTAATAATTCAATTTTTAAAAAAACTTGTCCAAAAACCGTTTTTTGGCACTTTCTAGAAAATTTCAACCAGAAGATTGTGTTTTATCAGCACGCACTTCCTCCGCGAAATTAATAAATATTGACGCCAAAGACGCTCCAGAAAAACTTTAGGATCCGTCAGCCAAAAATGAGTATCTCAAGATAGTACAAGTACTGTACAGGTATGATCGACGGGTACCAAAAAACTAATAACAGAGTCCTTATGTTGGTGCAGTCATTGAAAGTGGTTGAATTTATTACCTCGTTGATGACAATTAAAGCATCAAATAAATTAGCGCAATTAAGGCAGCTAAGTTGTGTACGTTTGAGAAAATGATTGAAAACGATCCAGCAGCGTCCATTGATTTACTGGAACGTTAAATGCTAAACTTGCTCAGCATTGCCGTAATTTAGGACCCCTCAATCGCACGTGGTTTTTACCGGGACCCCTCTGTCACACAAGTATCATTAAATATTATCAGCCAAAAATTCATAGCTTCTCAAAATTTTGTTCGCCAAAAACTATCCGAGACCAGTTGAAGGCAGTCGGAACATTCAAGGTTTTGCCCTGATAAGAGCAGTCTTGTTTTAAAATTTTAAGCCATTTCTTTTCTTATATCGAAATGAAATTAAGCAATTTTTTTGTGGTGAGCAGGTTTAGCTTTGTCAATTTAATATCAAAATCAAAGTTTTATTCATTTTTTAAAATTTTAAATTATTGGTGCTAGGGAGGCGCAAGAATAAAGCTTCAAAAAATAAGTGTCGCTGCTAAAGATTTATTTACTAAGGCTTAATTGAAAACCCTCCTCGCTCGCTTTAATTAGAACTGATAAAATACCTTGGAGACAAAAAATTTAAAATGTGGCAAAAACCGACAAAAAACTGAACAAATTAATGGAAGAATGTTTTCAACAATTTTTAGTAGAAGACACCAACTTAATTTCAAACAATAGAGAAACTGTGGATTGAGGCAAAAAAGAGTATCATTAAATTGTGTGACAGTCTGAAAATAAACGAAGAGTTCAAAGGACCTCAAACTTAGTAAAACCATGCTTGGAATATCCTTGACCTCAAAAACTCCAAAAAGATGTGGAAGGTGTTTAAAAGGGTTCTTCGCAATTTGTACTGCAAACTAACAAACCGACATTTCCGACCATCCTAAAAACCCTCGATGAAACATCGCTAGTGTAAAAACCTGGTAAAACATACCTGATTGTCATAAAAGTTCACTGAGTTTGAAAAAGCTTATAACCAATCTAAATTATGCGATTCTTGTCATTTTTGCGAACCGTAACTGAACGGGTTTCACGTTAGTTTATTTGCAGTACTTGGCTTGGCAATAGAAATAAAACAATACTGCTCGTCTCATGGCGAAGCCTTGAATATTCCGACAGCCTTTAAAGGTCTATGGAGCAGGTTTGTTTTAAAAAAATGATTATATTCTTAATCAAATAAGAAAAAAAAATAATTTTTCGAGCTTTTTTTAAAATCATCACCCCACACGCCATAATAAGTACAAAGTGATAGATTTTGCTACTACTAATTTAGCAATTATGAAAAAGGGCCTACTCAACTTGGAACGAGTTCTGAGAGCGGTTAAATCTCCGCTTACTCGCTAATAGCGCGGATTATATCGCTCGTTAATCGTCCCAGGCAATATTTGCATTCTTAAAACCCACATAACTTATCAAAAAATAATAACAATTAAATATTTTTTTAAACTTGAGCTCAGGACAACAAAAATTTTTGGTTGATAAAAAAATCTGGAAAAAATTTGTAGTTAAGCACAAATTAAACACATTCGAATCTAAAGTGACTTCTTATTTTCAATTAAGCAACCACCAGTATTAAAAAAAATTCCTTCATAACCAAACACCTACAAAAACACACAGAAATGAGCTGTAGAACACTCAGAAAAAGGCTTTAATATAAGCATTTCCTTCAGAGCATCTTTTAGGAACTTAAACTAAGGCCAGGGTGCTTAAACACACCTTCATCTTTTCTTTTCTTGGGAATTTAAGATTTCTTAAATATTCCCTACAATTGTCATATGCAATCTTAATGTGTTCCTGTTCCTGTAAAAAACTCTAAGAAGCTGTTTTTGTCCAACACTGAGCTGCAGCCCAGAAAAATTCGAACACATGCAAACAGGAACAGGAACAATTTAGCGTTTCGAAAAAGATATCAAAAGCCAAAAAACTGAACAAAAATTTTACAGACAAAATTCTTTTAAAATTTTTACCTGCTATGGTAATTCACCAAAAATAATGTGCGTCATGAATTGATTTCTCTAGTCATGGAAACATGAACAACCCAACGATTCTACAAAGATATCAAAAGCCAAAACAACTGACCAAAAATTTTACAGACATTTGAAAAAAATTTTACCTGCCATGCTAATTCACCAAAACTAATGTCCGTTATAATTTCTTTCTCCAGTTATGAACAACAGATTTTGCATACTATTTTCATTCAATTGAAAATGTTTTGTTTTTGAGCGTCTTCAAAAGGATGAGCTCGAGGTCAGGACAGTCTAAAAAACAAAGTTTTTTTAAAAAGCCAGAACTATCGTAAAGTTTTTGAAAGTTAAATTTGAGTCAACAATTGTTCACTCTGATTAATGGTAATCACAGTTTTCAATCACTTTTTTAATGACACTACCTAGTTGATAACTAGTTGGGAAAACTAAAATTGCACGAAAATTAAAATTTAGCTAAACATTGATTGTTCACCCTTGCCATCTTTTTTAATTGGTATAACAGAATTTGTAAAACAATCTGTAAAAAAGAATTGGTAAAAAATTTTGTCAAACTTTTTTCAAATCCGTAATTTTGTCAATAAACAGATATATTGGGCGTGTGTGTATTCAGATTACTCATTTTAATTGAAATTCATTTCTTAAGTGGTTGTAAATTTATCAACTCCAGTTTTGTTTTATTTCAAATTTTTGTTATTTATTCTTTTCGATTTTGTCAGATTAAGTTACATCTTTAATTTAGCTAAGTGATGGTTGAAAAAAGGTTATTTTGAGTGTGTTTTTTTTGAGGGGAGAGGAGGCTTAAAGTTTCAAATATATGATAACTCTATCTTTTTTTAAACTTCAAGGGGTGTCTGCAAGGTCGGCTTGGTTACACCTTCCTAAATTTCGTTTTGATGCTAATTCAACACAAGTAATTGCCGTTTGAATTCACGAAAAACGGAGAAAAACGTGCAATTTTGTCGACTTTATTGTTTTGACTAACTTCCAATGGTCGAACTTGCTATATTCTATTTGTGATATATCACAAATGATGCAAAGCTTCTCTCGCTTCTGTGTAAAAAAAGGCAGCAGACAATTTTTTGGTACAGTATGATTTTTGTTTGGTTGCAGTGATTGCTGTATTAATGGTTTGCTACGCCGATATAAGAAAAACTTGGTGAATGCCCACATCAGTTAAAGTTTTCCTTTTTTTTCCCTGAATTAATTTTGCTCAAGTTAAGCTTTTTTAGTCCTTGTAAAACTTTGTACTAAGCCGTCCAGACAGGGGAAGATCTAGGATTTACTCCAGGGGCGGCGGGTTTTTAAAAAATTTTTCAGCCTTTTTTATAGGCTGAGTAAATTGATTTTTGGAGCTCTCCCAAAGCACTAGAAAGACCCTGTTTCGACCAAATTTTTTGCACCGCAGGCAAATTTATGAAAAACCGGGCAAAAAAGGCGTTTTTAAGCACTTTATAGAAAATTTTGACCAAAAACTCGCCTATTTTGGCGCGCGTTTCCCCCTCAAAATTAGTCAAAATTGGCACCAAAAATTTTAGGCTCTGCCAGCCAAAAATGGATATCTCAAAATAGTACAAATGGTCGAATCCCTAAGAGGAGGGGGCGTCCTAAATCCGCTAGTGCATCCAGGTACACATTTTGGACTCGCTGAATCGCAAAATGATCAAATTCAGCTTCAAATTCAACAGCCGCACGCTTAATATTCACGTGCTTGGGTTTACTCAGTGCGTGGATTCGATGTTGCAACCAAGTTAAATTAGTAAACTGAGAAAAAAATTGAACTATGTTGAGCGGATTTCGTAGATTGTCAAAACAGTGCTGATTTAAATTAACCAGACAAAACTGGACCCTAAACTGCATTTTACTCAAATTGGATTAGCATTAGACAAAAAGCGACGATAAAAAAAAGATGTTGGAATGTTAACAGAAATAGAATAGTGCAATTTGTTCGGCGAAAATTGGATTCAAAATTTGAACCCAGAAATGTTTTTTTTTGTCTCCGCCTAGTTAGTCAAAACATAGAAGTGGATCAACTGATGAGCAAATTACTGATGTCAAACTGCTGTCAAAGTGTGTGTCTTATGTAAACAAAGTTTAAAAAAGGCTTATGCTTCGAAATTTTGGGCAGAATGATTTTTAATGGGAGGGGGAGAGAGTGTAGTCAGAACAAAAGAGTTCAGCTTACCCGTCATTATGCACGTAGACCTTTTCAACCACGTGTGATTGCAGGGCGCTCATCGTGGCTTTCAGGGAGAAGAAAGATACTTCCACTTTGATGGCTTCAGCTAAAAGTAGATACACGTTCTCATCATGAACGCGAAGTTATTATGTCGACTTTTTCTAAGGTTCGAAAACAATCCTATGTTGAGTTAAAATGAGTTAGCTCTTGAAAGGTAAATGATAATACTATCCAGTTGGTTCAATTTTCAATACTAAAAAATCAAAGGAAAAAACATTTCGTTTGCTAGATTTTTTTAAGTGTATTTTCTGCGCCCAAATTTAATGTTTTTGATTTTTTGAAACAGTGTTCGCAATGCTTGAACTCGATAGCTTGAAATATATCACAACCCAATGAAAGCTAGAAATTTCGTTCCAGATTTAGAAAAAATTGTCAAATTTTCACTTTTGGCCGTATTACAGAGTTGACCCAAAAACTCAGAAGCAAGAAAACATTTCCCTGTGAGTATGGATGCGAAAAAGAAACGTACGTCTGATTTTGCTGAGACAACTGAGTGCAGTTAAAATCCACTGAGGTGCAATTATGGAACCCCCGCATGTATAATAGTTGTCGAGTCTCCGGACTCGAACGTAGAAACGCCGCTCATAACTCGGCACTCCATTGATGATGCTCGACAATAAATGTTGGCTGAAGTTTCCTCTTTGATAATCCGATTTAAATGTTTGTACTTGCAGCAAAATAATGAGAAAAATGAATAAGGTCCACTTCATTATTGATATTTGACAATTTTCTGCTGAATTAACCGTTGTTTCAGTGACTTGTTCAACGATTCGAAGTGAACTTCGTCTAGCGGTTTATCAAATAAAGCGAAGCATCGAATTTAACCTTAGCGTTCACTTTTAAAGTGCAATTAAAAGCTCAGGACAGATGAAATTTGAAGATGACGAAATATCAGATGCTCAAAAGACCCTTCGATCTATTGTTATTAATTTTATTGGTTTTTATTGATAGTTCAGCACGAACAGTAAAAAAACTCAAAAGGTCATTTAACACATAAGAACAGTTGCAAGGTTCGTATGTAGGACAAAATGTGCCAGCCTACAAAATATTCACCAAATATTTAAAATCTTTCGTTGGATTACCAACTTGCTCTGTTCATCTATTGAACGAAATGGAACAAATTGTTCATATTTTTCAAAAGTACTCTCAAAAGTAAATTGTTAAAAATTTAACTGAAAAAAGTGACCTGGGTCGGTTCTAGGATTATCTCGAGGGAAGAGGATTTTCAAAAAATTTCGAAAATGTTGTCGACATTTTTTTTAACAATCAAATTGATTTTCAGAGCTCTACCAAAGCACTAAAATTACCCTGTATTGGCCAATTTTTTGCGACGCAAGCAAATTTTGAAAAAAAAAACAAGCCAAAACAGGCGTTGCTAAACAATTTTTGGACAATTTGGCTCTCTCCTCATAATTCGTAATTATTGGCGCCTAAGGCGCTATTAGAAAATTTTAGGGACGTTCATCATCTTTGACTATTTGCATGGTTACATTATTTTCAATATCTTATCTTTCGTCTTCCATCCTTTTTTCTTTATTCGTCAATTTACTGTTTTCAAGTTTTTGTTCTGTCTTTCTCGTGTCGTCTGCTTCTCGATATAGACCTCACCGAAAATAAAGGAAAATAATGAGAGTTAATTCTGAATGTCTAAGACCTGTTAGAAAAACTGACAATTTAGTAATTTCATAATTTCATAAATTTTTAAACAATAAAGATTGTAAACAAAAGGTATGGTTTACCGCCAAGCTCCAGTGCTCTTCGTTGTGTTTTGATGGAGATCACACTGACAAAAAAAACCCCAACCGGGTAATTTTTCATAAATCCTAAGTTCTCAAACGTAGTTCTCTAACGTGAAGTCATTTGAAATCAATTAGTCATGTTAACGAAAGTCATGACTATGACATAGTCCTGCCACATTTGCGAGCGTTGCAAATAATAATGCAAATATGTGTTCCGGTGAATGAAGCTAGCGTAGTAATCTTGGCTGGAAAAGCTGTCGATCGATAAAACTTAGATAACGCATTCACGAAAGTGAAATGAATATTAAAGTCTTTGCAATAATTGGCAAACAAAAATAAGGGCTAGTTAAGAGTAAAAAACGGGTAAAGGAAGCCAGTCAAAATCATTCAATAGGGAAAACTCTGGACAGTTTAATTAGTGATCGTACCATTTTACCATGAAGAGTCTGGAATGTCTAACTGTTCCGTCGCTGGCTGGGTGATTCTCAAGAACTCTCGCAACAGGCCAAAGTCCCCGTGGTGTACAATGTTCCAATACCCAGACAAAATCTTCGACTGCCAAGTTGTTGGAGGCCATGTTCCTTTTGGTCCGAGTTTGCTTTTTGGGAGGAAATCACAAAGGGAACAGTTTCAAAGCTGTTGAGCGTGAGTTTGCGCGTTTTTCTGCCCTTTGGTAAAAGTGACTGATATATTCAAAAATATTCCAGAGGTACAATAAATGATAGCCTACCGAGAAGAAAGTGATTCGGGGTGAGCGGATATGGGTCATTTATGTCCGATGAAGCGTTAGCTAAAGGACGCGAGTTCATTTTGGATTCAATTTCGCAAAGCGTTCAGCGTGTTACCATGCAGTGTTTGAGAACCGATAACTTTAAAGAGAGAAAATTTTAACTAGTCACTCCCAGCTGCAACCAAAATGGGGCGCGGCTGGCTGGTTAAAAATTTTTCTTTACTTATGTCCAAGATCGATAATTTTTCTTTGAAAGCAGAACTTTGAGTTAAGTCGCTTAATGAGCTTCAGAACTTTGTTTGCACCGTCAAAAAAAGATCCCTTGTCCGATATCAATTTTTTCAGTTTCTAACGTCTGATGCAATGAATTGCGCTATTAGTAGAAAAATCAGGTGATACTTCTAAGTGTACCGCAAGTACAACCAAACAGGTGAAGGGAAGTATATATCTCGAATATCGACTGTTGTTATCGTAAATCGGGAAAGTTCCTCTGATGTCCGGACCATTATTGTAAAACGGATAATAATTTGCCGTCGTTAATTGGTGTTTTCTTTACGTGGTTGTGTGCGGGATGATTAAAAACAACTTATTTGGAGCTGTTCCAGGCTACGGCTAAGGCGTATTTTGCACTCTAATACGTGCAAGTGTGAATCTGGTGGCTATTCTAAAAAGGCGCCGTATAAATTGAGGTGCACTCTTAATGAGCAAAACTTAACCGTGTGGCAGTTTTTAAACATTGTTTTTGATCTTTTAATACAATTTGGATTCAACTTTTTCCTAATTATCGAATAAAATGCGAGAAAAAACGCAACACTGGGTTCATCAAAAAACTAGATTCTACCAATCAGAAAAAAAGACGCTTTCAAAATTCTGTATCATCATGTTTCTATTGTTTTTAACAGGTCTTTCTAACTTTCTAGTTTAGATCTTCTCTCCAAATGGTAGAGCAAATTTTTCATGAAAAATTAATGTTTCAAAGTTCAAACTGGGCATAAGTGCAAGGCATCAAAATCACTAAGGGCTATCAATTTGGTAACAAGAAAATAGTAGCAACGAGTTAATAAAAATTTCCGGGCAGCTTATCCTAACTGCTTATCCGCGAATAATTTTTCTGAGCTAGAGCGTTATCCTATTCGTCGAAGAATGGGACACACACATTTATTGTTTGTCCGTTCATATCATCAAGACAATTTCATCATATGCAACTAAGGGCGCCCGCCGGTTCACACAAACACATTTTATCATGTGCGACTTAGGGCGCCCGCCGATTCGAACAACATAAATTTTATCATATGTGGCTATGGGCGCCCGCCAATTCACACGCTGCCATGTATGGGCGCCCGCCAATTCACACGCCGCTCAAACTGCTCTTAATCATCCCGCACATAACCACATAATGCTGGCCGGTCTGCCATGAGGGGTGCTGAAACTTCCTGCAACATTCTACGACAAAATAGGTAGTTTCGTATAGTCTGCCTTACAGTTAGACGACAGTGAAGGATCCAGTAATTTCCATGAGAATACTACGCGTTTGTTCATTTCCAGAATGAATTTTCACTAAGTGAGTCTTTTTACGAGCAATTTGACTATTTGATTTGATCCATCCAGAAGGTTGGGATATCTAAAGGTAACCAAAAATGGTGCTTTCGACAAGTGACCTCGAGCGCGATTGTTGCCGTGAGCGTCGATGTAAGGGCACAAAATTCGATGATGCCTACTTGAGGGAGAAATTTGACTGTTGGTCTTTAAATCAGTATACTCTACCCAGAAGTCTGTTTCTTGATAGAATTTTATCAAGTAAGTGTAAGTTTTCGCATTATGAGTGAATGAGTGAATTTTAGATGAGAACTTCGCTTCATAATTTTGTCAACGGCCAAGTAGCAGAAAGCAATTGAGCAAATGAGCCTGCTCCAGTTGCTAAACCTGAGCGATTTGAGCGTTTGACAGCCTTGAACAGTAGACTTATTAGCCGGCATCATCTAAACTGTGATTTTATTTAGTTAAAGCAGATTTTGTTGCGGCCAATGAAGCTAGTCCTTCCAAAGAAATTGCGGTCCTTCAAGTAGCGCGACTGAATTGTCACTTTATCAACGATATAACCCTGAGTGCCGTCATTGGCCGGATTCTGCTTTGTTAGAACGTATTTCCAACCGTGAGGATTGCAGATATGCAAAATCTCAGCTAATCGGTGTGCAAGAAAGGTTTTGTTTCGAACTTGAGGCGTTCTCAACCAGTACAACACAATAGTGCTGTCTGACCAAAAGGATTGATTGCATATTGAGTAATCTGACTCTTCAACAATGAATTGAGCCATTCGTATGCCGTTGACAGCTGCTTGCAATTCCAAATTAGGTATCGCCGTTCGCTTCATTGGTGCGACTCGGGCTTTACCCATCAAAACTTGACCGACACGGTGTTATCTTTATAGAATATTCTGCGAAAAACAACTGCTGAGAGTGCAAGATCTGAGGCCTCTATAAAAATGTGGATATCTTTAGATCTTGTTTCTGTTGCGTTTATTAGGTTTCCTGGAACGTAAAGTGTTTTCAAAGTTTGGATTTTGTTTTTGAACTCTAGAGTTGACGACAATGGTTCGATTTCTTGTTCCATTTGGCGGCCTTGGCTTCAAACGGACCGAAATACTTTTCTCAAGCGAATAGTTAGAGGTGCTACAAAACCAAGAGTATCAAAGATTGCAGCCACGAATTTCAAAAGAATTCACTGAGTATTTAAATTTTGGGGCTGAAATTTTTGAAAAAGTTTCTTATCAGTTACGTTAGTGTCCATAATGGAATCTCATGGAAATCCGCGAACACGTTGTTGCCAGGGTTTGCAGTTCTCCGGGTCCACAAGTAGCGCCTAATCAACCATTTCTGGCAACGATTGATATTTTGAGTTCCACTATGTGAGATTAAACCCTCCGAAGGAGAGGATTTTTCGAGTATCCGACATGATAGGATGAGCTTCATCTGGCGTAGATGATGATGATATATAAATTGTCCCGGTAAAAATTTGTTTCGATAAATTTTCTGACATGAGGGTACTTATCTCCATTGTCCAGTGTGCAACGACGTAGTGCATAGCACGCAACACATGGGGAATGTGTAGCTCCGAAGGTATGACTAGTGTAAACGTGGGTATCAACTTTTCCTTCATCGTACCACAGGTATCGGAGGAAAGGTCTATCTTTAGGATCGACATTATTCTGCAAAAACGTAGCTACTATTTCTGCAGAAAGGGCAACGATGTTTTCCCTGAAACGGAGTATGGTACCAGTGAGGTTGTTAAGAAGATCATAATCGGTGAGATGATTTGAATACTGAAAACTTATCTTACATTTCCTCACTTTTTATTTATTCCTTTTTAAAAATGTAAATTATTTTG